GAATGGGTTAAGACAAATCTAATGAGCCCAAACTCTATATGTTTACTAGTAGGCAGTCCAAGGTCCATCAGCGACCTTCCAGTCCCATCATGAAATCAGCTCGCTGGTACAATAATTATATTGTATTGTCATCTAATCTACATCTATACTATAGGTACTATAAAGCTGCAGAGTTTGTTTGTTTGAACGCGCTAATCTCTGGAACTACTGGTCCGATTTGAATGATTCTTTCAGTGAAGGGATGTCGAAAGTTGAAAAAAATATCGATATATCGATACATCGATATTTAAAAAAATATCAATATCGGCTTCGATATATCGCGAAAAAAACATCGATTTATCGATATATCGGACCAATTTTCCCAAAAATATATTTAGGTCAGCCTAGCACAGTAATAATAACAATACACATTATAATTAAAGAAAGAATTATCAAAGTACCAAATTGCCGATACACTAAATAACAGTACAGTATCTCACGAAATATGGCATGAAATAATAATGAAACGAAAATTATCTCCCTAAAAGTAAACCCGATTTTCGAATGATTAAATTAATGCAGGGCCTCTCAGGTGTCATCTTTCGTAAACAAGACTAGACAGTCACACACTTCCACAGAATATAATGGAATTCAGTGCAACCAATTCACCAGCGAAACAGATTTACAAATAATAGACAATACTAAATATAGCACAGATCATAGATATGTTGAATATCATTAATCTGAGATCCAGATACGAATTTAGTTAGATCGTGATATGCCGTTAATAATTAAAAAAATATCGTTTTTGATACGAATTTCGATATTGGTTATTTTGTATCGATGTATCGATATATCGAATCAAAATATATCGGCAAAAAATATCGATATATTTTCAACAAGCCTATTTCAGTGTTGGGTAGTCCATTTATCGAGGAAGGCTATAGGCTATTTTGTTTTCAAAATTAGGGATCCGTAATAAAATTGCTATTTTGTAACACAAGGTGTAAAATCAAAAACCTATTTTTGCGTGCGCTGTAAAAACTATTGACAATAGAACAAAATGATGTACTACGGGTTTGTAGATCTCATTAAGACCTACAAAAAAGTCCGCGAGAACATATATCTAGCTATCATGGTTTAATCACAATAACCGATTTTGTGTTCAAAATAATTATTGAATCGTCTGAAGAAAAAAAAAACTACGTTAAATATGTATCGTAATATTAAAAACACAAACAACCCTTAATTTTCACCCCTCTACCACCCATATTTTTATGGCGATACGAAGTTCGCTGGGTCAGCTAGTATTACAAGTTTTATTATGTTAAGATGAATCTCATGAGCCCAAACTCGATTCTTTTACTAGTAGGCAGTCCCTGGTCCATCAGCTACCTTACAGCCCATCATCAGGTCCTCGACATCAGGAGAAATGAACAGAATGAGCTAAGACGAATCTAATGAGCCCAAACTCGATATGTTTACTAGTCCTGTTCCATCATCAGATCAGCTTGGTGGTACCATAATATTGTACTTATTGTCATCTAATCTACATATATTTGCCAAGTTTAAAGTAAATCTGATCGCTTAAAGTTGGGCAAAATCGAGCCCAAAGGAGTTGGTTACATACAAACATACAGGTGAAACTAAATAAAAGCGTGTTAATGAGAGTGAATGTCAAAAGGTGAAGGTACATAATTTTTATTTATTTATTTATTAAGGAAAGCCAACAAAACAAACACCAAATAAAAATACAAACTGAGAAAGCAATAAAGAAAACAATTCTTAGTGCTGCCTTACTTAAAGGCTGCCACTGCATGCGTAAAAAATTTACTTACGAAGTAGACTTACGATAAACAAAAATAAGAGAATCTAGTACAAACACTTCAAAAACTATAAAACTAAATATTAGGTACATATCCATATCCATACTGACATCATTCTCCAGACCCAAAAACAGATCCAACACCAGTCCCTCACTTGCACTCTGTATTGAGAATGACAAGGATACACTGCCGCCTAATCCAAGTCTAGGCCTAGAGAACTCTGCCAAAATCGACGCCGTTGTGGCGGTATGCTTACCAATAATATGATTTGATCTATGTGGGTACAAAGGAGTCTAAAAGAGCAGACTTAAATTTGCGAAGAGAAGAAGACATGTCTATATCACTGTGTTTGGATGAAGCGGCCAGCGTACGTGATAGTGTGTTATATTGTGACTGAAGTCTATTAATGGTACAAAAATGACCAAGGTTAGTTCTGGAAGCCCCTGCTCGGAAAGGTGACTAACGTGAAGGTCGAGCAGATTTATATGGGATATTAAAGTTAATCTGCGCTAACAAGTGTGAGCAATCTAAGTGACCGTTTAGTAATTTGAAAAAGAAAATGTGATCATGCATTTTACGTCGATTTTCGAGACCTTAACGGTCTTAAAGTGAATCAAACGCGATCTGTATGTGAGTAGTTGTTTGGACAAGTCGTGTTTATAAGTTAAGTGCCCCAAGAACCTTTTTAATACGGATTCAATACGTTGTTTATGAACCTCGTAATACGGTATCCAAATCACACTGCAGTATTCTAAGCCAGATCTAACCAAGGTGTTGAAAACTGCTATTTTGCTTGAGGCTTGTCTAAATTCCTTGCAATTTCGTAATACAAATCCTAAAAGCTTAAAGCTCTTTTTAGTAATTTTGTCTATATGTATATGAAAACGAAGTTTTTGATCCATGAATACACCCAAATCACGAATAACGTCCACTTCTCCGATAATATCATTATTTATTTTATAGGTATTAAAGTAAGGAGATTTTCTCCGAGAGAAGTGTATAAAGCTACATTTTGAAACGTTGAGTTTCATGGAATTTACTTTGCACCAGGAAGAGAAACGGTTGAGATCTTCCTGAAGGAGTATAGGATCATTAACATTATTAATTAACTTGACGATTTTTAGGTCATCTGCATATAAGTGTATTTTAGAATTCAGAAAGCAGGAAGCGACGTCATTAATGAACGCGTTAAAGAATAAAGGTCCCAAGCGTGATCCTTGTGGGACTCCAGAGGCTATCAAAAATGACGAAGATATGAAACCATTCAATACTACTCTAGAGGATCGTTCAGTCAGGTATGATTCACACCAGTTGAGAAGGTTACCGAAGATACCGTAGCGGAATAACTTAGAGACGAGAGTTTTGTGTTCAACCTTGTCGAACGCTCGGCTGAAATCCGTGTAGATGACGCAACAGGCGTACCATGGTCCAACAGTTGCCACCAAATCAGACACGAAACCCGCCAGATTTGTTACTGTAGAACGCGACCTTATAAAGCCATGCTGTTGTGGTAGTAAAATATTCTTAAAATGCCAGGCCAAGAACGGGTGTACCAGCACCTCAAAGCCCTTTCCGAAAATTGATAACAATGAGATAGGACGGTAGTTATATACTGAAGTCTTGTCTCTAGATTTATATACAGGTACAATTAAGGCTTCTTTCCATATGGAGGGAAAGATACCTGTTCTAAGCGATTTGTTATAAATCAGGGAAAGAGGTTCGGCAAGGACTTCATGGCAAGAGGCAACAAAAGAAGACGGGAGTCCATCAGGACCTGCACCCTTACGTGGGTCAAGTGCCTTCAGTGCTTTTTCGACCATGCCTGTGGTTATGGTGACGTCGTGTAAGGTCTGAGATCCAGAGGCGTCATAAACAAGTGAGCATGTAGCGTTCATATTCGCACTATTAAAATCGCAGTCATAAACAGATGAGAAACATGAGGCGAAGGCATTACAGATCTCGGGGCCCCGTATGTGCAATTTTATCTTTATAAGTCATAGCAGATGGATATGAACTGCAACCCTTACGCTTCTGCTTTAAAAAAGACCAAAACAGTTTGGGATAAGAGGTTAAGGAGGTTTCGATTGATTCTATGTAAGAGTTATAGCTACTAGTGCAAGTTTGTTACATTTAGTTTTGAGAATGTGAAAGGAAATATCATCTAATGGGTTTTTGAACTGAATATAACGCTTACGGTATTTGTTTTTTTCACGCAATAAACGGATGAGGTCTTTATTCAACCAAGCAGGGTAATTGTTCGAATGCGGCTTAGACATGGGCACATATTTTGATATGAGTTGATTAACAGTACTGTAAATTAACATTAAGTTGGAAATGAGTAAAATTGTTAAGAACGTAATTAAAACAAACATTTCATTAATCCCCATCGTTCCGTTACTTGGGAAAAAAAATAAACTAGCTATAAAGTCAAAGGTAAAAAAAGTGGATTCTTCGCGATTTTCATCAAAACGGAAACTTTTACCGTAAAATTACCTCAAACAAAAATTGTAGATCATAAAAAATTATCTATAAAAAAGTAGATCATTTTTTTTTTTTCTTAAGAGCCACCATTCCTGACTTTGAGTATCTATTAAACTCAAAGGTTCCCGAGATAAAACGATTCAAATGTTTGTGTAAGCGTCATAACATGCAGGTTTTCAGCCACCTCTGAGGTGTACTTAGCGCCTTCTTTTCAACGTGGTTTCCCCAATAGGCCTATTTCATAGGTCTGCTGTGATTTTGTTTAATTGGAAACTAATAATAGATATTAGCAAGGGTTGGAATTGAATTGTTATTTTTTATACATTTAACTGCTTATGTTATTTTTAATGATGTTTTGAACAATTTTACTCACTTTCAGCTTGATGTAAATTTGAATGTCTAGTTTGACCGGACTTAAAGTGTTCTATATGCTTCGTACGTTGGGCCACTTCAGTCTTCTGTTCAGAGTATAGGTACAGTTAATTTGTAGGAATTCATTCATAAGAAATATCTTGGACATTTCAACTAACTATAGCATAGCAATAAAACAAACATTTAAAAAGTGTCTTTTTATTGTTCATATAAATTATTATAATAACTAATGAAGACATAAAAATTCCACTGTTAATGTAATTTGGATTCATTAATTTTAGAAAATACTAAAAATAAATAAATTTAATGTAACAACTATGAACTATATTATTATTAAAAGTATGGGATTTCTATGGACTTTTTCTTTAACACAAGACTGGTCTGAAAAGATACTTTCCTTATTTACATAATCTGCACAGTAAAAGTCACAAATTACATTAACAGTGGCTTAGTTTACTAACTAAGTACTAACTAGTGAGTTTTCTTATGTTTAGCAAGTTTTTCATATTTGCTCTTAGATGAAAACCAGAGACCAAAAGGAATAGCAAGAGAAGGCAGTGTCATAACTGCAAAGGCAGCCCAGTCCAAAATATGGGATGAGAATTTCCTGTCATAGTCTTTGAAAGCAACTATTGCTCCTTCTCCTGGTGAGCTGCTAATGGCGTATTGGACCTGGAAGTAAACAGAATCTTTTTCAGCACAGAAAAATCATTGATGGTGTTTGTTGCGTATTTTAGCTATCATCCCAGTGAGGAAAGAGATTTAAAAGGTTAATAAAAACAAACAAAACAAACACAAATTTCCCTGACACTCACTAGGAATAAAAAATTGATACAACTTCACTTGTGAAGAAACAACTTTGCTTACGCAATCTACATTGTCAAAAGAAATCTATGTATGTAGATACAATTCAATATAATTAACAAATATACTATAACTTCAAAAATCAACATTTTTATTTATATTATATACAGTACAGAAAATCATTATACATTTAAAATTTGTATCAATAAGATGACTTGTTACTGAAAATATACTGAGCAAGTTGTATTTTAAGTGCAATTCAATGTATGAAATAATTATTGTTTCTTTGAACACTAACCTCTGTGGCATCTTCACTGGGCCTGTAGCTGATTTCTGCAGCAGTGAAGTTAAAGTAACCGTATCTGTTGGATCGTACAGTCACGACGTGAGAAACGTTAGTTTGTGGTGGTATCCTGTCAATCTCTGCCGTAAGCTGACCGCCGACAACAGTGAAGACATCTGGATGGAACCCGTTGTCCACTAGCTTCACATCTACAGCAGGTGCGGTTCCTACATTATACAGCGTGTATTTCACTAAGATGTCCATGTTCTCTACTAAGTATTTGTTCAACACTTGTTTCGAAACAAGTAGTTTCGCAACCGTCGGCTCATCTTCGGCGAAGGCAATTGCGGCCACAATTAAGATAAGAGACAACAATTTTGCAGCCATTCTGCCTGAAATAGATGAAGAAATTATAATTAACTAAACACGAAAATTTCTACATGTATTGTATCTATACGTGGTACACATAGATATTGAATGAACTACTGTATTACCCCGAATGGGAAACATGGCCATTTAATATTTGATTACAATGAATAATATGAAACGAAAGTTTTAGTTACCTTATTGAAGCTTAAATAAAATTAAAGTAGAAGTAGACCTCGTAGCCGATTCGAGATTGTAAAAGTGACAGCTACTTGGACGTGGCTGACGTTTCACTCCACGCGTACAACTACGTTTCATTTTACATTTGACAGCGCGAGCAACATATTTTAGGGAGAAGACAATGACCATGAATTAAAAAACAGTTTTGATTTTGATAACAAACAATGTTTATAGAGGGATTTACTATTGATGAATTTAGTTTTAGCAATTCTTGATAGAATGAAGCAGCTGTAATTCAGGCTGTATGAACCTAATTGCCTTTGTTAAAGATAGAAAGATGAAAAAAATAGAATTCGTGTCATTGTCCTGCCTAGCGGAAGTAAAACATCATAAGTCGCATTTTCTCAAATTTAAAGTAAGATGTTTATTGTACATTTGAATGTAACTGGACTGTGGGATTAAACAAAATAATTAACGCAGTCGGGTAAAAATTAAAATTTCTTGATAGTGATTTTACTTGTAATTTTTACTGTAATTCTTATAGAATTAGAGTTAAGATACATCTCGGTACTCTCCGCTTTGCTAAGAAAATAATAAAAAATGATAGACATATTAAGCATGTAAGTGAAAAGAAAGAAATTGGCAATTGTGTTGCCTTTGTACCACACAGTACGCTCGTTTTAATTATTTTCTTATCGGACTCTGGGATAAGATCAGGTGGGGTGGGGCAGATGTTTGTGTGATTAATACGAGCATTTGTACTCCAGTCATGGATGTATATTATGTATTTCTTTATAAATATACTTATTTAACTATCAGTATATGTAGTCTATCCGTTACCCTAGTATCCCAAAACACAAGCTTAGAGTGCTTACTTTGGGAACTAGGCTAATTGGTGTGAATAATGGAAATAATAAATAAAAAGCTGTATAAAGGTACGGACAGACGTGCTCAAAAAATAGCATTCTCATAAGCTTGCTTAAAATTAGTATGCTCTGCAACTTTTCACATTTGCCAGCAAGTACTTGTCTTAAGCATATTCATTTATCACTACTTAACATCAGGCGGGGTAGAGTCATTTGCCTACCTGGCTATGAAAGAATAATAATAATAAGCATGCTCAAAGCAAACGTACAGTCAGACATTCTATTTGGCACCAGGCTTTCAGCCAAAATGGATGTATAAAGCTATAGTGACAGTGCTATCCGTACATAACTCCATAAAATAATCATATTGGTTGCAACGGAATTGAGTAAAACATTTTGGTGAAAAATAAAAAAGGCGATTTGGGTTCGTAATTGGATAAGCAGAAGAGAATCACTGGGATCAAGTAATCAATTGTTAGCAGAAATGCGAAGCGAAGATCTCGTCAGTTATAAAAATCATTTATGGGAGTAAGGCCGCCGAAATTTACTGAGCTTCTTTCTAAAATTGAGAGAGAATAGCATGCTCTTAAGCAAACCTGTTTACACGCACTCGGAGCACGCCGCCGCCTCCTACCCGCGCCTCAGGTAGCATACTCTAAAATCAAACGTCTGTTGCTTTTTAGGCACGCTTTTATTAAGCATGCTCATTACTAGCAATGTTGTTACAGACGTGCCACTAATGAGCACTTGCTCAATAAAAGCATATTTCTGTGCTAGTAATGAGCATGTCCGGCTGTACCTTTTTTCTTAAAATTGAAAATTAAAATAAACAGACTTAGTATACTTTGCTTTACCTCCGGTCGACAGATTTATGATATCTGTGTGTTTGTTATCGTGTTTGAAGGATGGTTCTGAAGGAATATATTGGAAAATGGGATTCGATGGGAATTGATTAAACAATTGCAGTTCATTTCATAATCTGAAATAAATTAGTCTTACTGAATAGGAGCATTAAAAAAACTATGACAGAGAAAGAAGATGCTACCAAACAATCTGAAAATGAGCCATTAGATGACGAAGCGTTAGAGAAGTACTTTTATATTCCTTGAGTTTATGTTAATTCATAAATAATTGTGATAAATGTCAGTTGCACATACAACTACATAAGTCGTAATATTTTCAGATTAGCCGTAGAAGAGCTAATGCGGGAAGCTGTACAAGGAGCCGCCAGAGCCGAAATAGTTGGCCCCTCCGGCTGGATTAAAGCCCCGCAACAGAAGACGAATAAACGTTTTCTTGTCAACACATTGCGGAATGCTGTGAGTTCGAACAAGTATCACCAAACAAGACATAGTAGCAGACATAGCAGATCTCCGAAGCGGGACTATCCCCCGAAAACCACTATCAAAAAAGAAAAGTCGAAAAGAAAACATTGAAATGGAAGAATACGATGTGGATATTGTTATAAAAAATATATTTGATAGTAAAGATCCAAATTTATGGAAGCCATCAGACAAAATTCCTCTTTTAACTAAAGAAGTAGAAATGTTAAAAAATGATTTGAGAACATTTTTGAAGAATAGTGACTATGACACAGAATCAATATTAGAGGAATGTGGGGAGCTCTGCAAGGAGACTAATGGTTTAATAGATGGCATGGAAACATGTAAGCAGGAAATAGAGCAAGAGACAATGGCAGAAATATTAAAGTCTATAGAAAGTCATGATACATTATCCAAGGAACTTGAGTCGGTAAACTTTGCTTTGAATATTGTTTATGATGTAGTACAGTGTGGTAAATATGTTAAAGAATTTGATGACGGCCGGGAAGCTCAAAGTTTCACCAGGGCAGTAGAAGCAGTTTATGATTTACTCCAGTACATAGAAATGCCAGCTGAAGGATTTAAACAGTTGGACATGTACAATAACACTAGACACACTGCTCAATTAATATTAGACAGTTTACTCTCTGATTTATATACAGAATGGGACAGATTGATTTCTACTTCTGTCAAGCCTGGCCCTAAAAAAACAATTATCACAATAACTCTAAACATAGAAGATTCATTAATTGTCATTGATGTTTTGAATGCGCTCGAGAAAAGTAAGAAACTTACTGAAAAAGTAAAAGACTTTTCACAATTTTTATTAAAGGATGTTCTCGTACCCATAATAAATAATGATTCAGTGGTTTTTGCTGAGACTGATGAGCTAATGACAATTACAGTGAATAATAAGTCAGAAAACAAGCCATCATATATTGCCGTCATTTCTAATCTGAGGTTGCTATTCCATTACCTAAGTAATAAGTTAAACATAGAATATAACAAAGAAAACTCAATAATGAAGATGATAGGGAAACAAATATGTGTGGAGTTCAGTGATATATTAGTGAAAGATTGTCTTCTTGACACTATACCAAATAATATAAATGAACTTCAAAGTTATGGGAAAATCACTTCAGAAATAGAAGATTTCCAACATTTCTTAGCCATAGTTAAGTTCTTTCCTGATGATAAGATTTCAATATTAAAATATGTTAACAATATAGATATACTTTTTGCTAGTAAGTCCAGCCAGTATTTTTTAGAGACAGCTCGTTCTATAATGCTCAAAGATTTGAGTGTGACCATGTCTATTGGGGTGGAAAATATACCAGAAGTGAATCCAGGGACCAGTTCAAGCAGCGTGGGTGAAACTGAAGAAGAAGCCTTAAAGATACTTGATAAGACAATCCCCAAGAGTTTGTTTTATTTCCCAAGATGTATGATATCAAAAACTGCTCAGGAATTGTTAGATCTTGTGTATGTGATGATGGAGCAGGCAGTCCAGTGTTCAGATGTTGTTTGTAAGAAGCTTTACAACACCACACGCCTTGTTTTTGAGCTGTATGATGCTGTTGTACCATATCATCATGAAAATTATTTACAAACTATACCCCAGTATGTTGGTAAGTCACATCAGTAAACCTAACATTAGTAAAATCCTATAGAGAGAGACTATATCATATTGAAGTACTCATGTTCTTAGTACTGGTCACTTGCAGTGGCAAAGGATGATGAAAATATGCTACATAAAAGTTATTATTTATTTTCAGCCCTATTCCACAATAATTGCATGTATTTAGCACACAACCTTCAGACATTTGGTGACAAATGGCTGATATTAATGGAAGGCCGAGAATTAGATTACCCTATCAGTTTCGTGGACCTGGTGCAGAAAATACGGGATCTTGGCTACCGCCATCTTGCTGTGCATATGCAACAACAGCGTAAGCAGATCTTGGACAACATACGATCCTCAGGTATAAATAAAATCTCTCATTCTGAGTAGATTTTTTATATCTATTACAAACTGCAAATTTAGAATAAAATTAAAAGCATAAATATGATAATGGTTTTTCTCTTAGCATTTTTGGTGATACATGTTTAGACATTAGGGTTTAAGCCTGTTCTAGACGCATGTAATCCAGCATACCAACCAAGGTGACCTTGCCCGTTGCCATCCATCTAGACGAAGGATGTAATCCAAATTTTGAATTGACCTTCAACGTCCTTGGATTACGTGCGTGTGTTTACATCCGCGGTTGGAGCGCGTGGATTACAACCTTTGGCTGGCGGATTACATCCAACCAAACACAGTTGCGCTGTGGCAGTTGGTGGATGCGCACGTATTCTTACGAAGTTATGAATATCATTAAAGTCCAATAAGTTTGAATAAATTAGAATGGCTAAGAATCATTCGCTATTGTGCTTCCACATTCTCTTATTTGTTGTTTTTCGTCGTCTATTGCACACAAAAGTTGTTAAAGGCAAAACCCACATTTTAAAATTTAGACAAATTTGGAGCCATTTCTACAACACGGTTACTAATACAGTCCGCGCATGATACAAGAGCATACGTGTTTTCACGCCAGGGGCCATTCGCCTAACGGAAATACTTTGGAAAACGCTAACGCTTACGATTTCATTTTGTTATATCTAGCTGCCTGAGGTTTACAAATGCTTCGCGCTCTTTTTTTTCTTTTGCTTTGGTAATAACAATGTTAAAAAAAATGAGCGTGAGGTATATGAAAACCTTCGGCGGTCAGAAATAACAAAATAAAATCGAAAGCGTTAGCGTTTTCCAAAGCATTTCCTTTAGGCGAATGGCCCCCTGAAGACGGCTCGCGATTGTGTGTTGGCGCGTGGATTACATCCGTGTAGAATAGTTCTTACTAATAAATAAATATTTGTCACTCCAATTTAACCTAGCTCCAAAGTAAGCTGTGTAAGGCTTGTACTGTGGTATACTAGGGTAATGGGTAGTATACATATATTCATGACTTGGGTACAAATTTTCTTAATCATCATGCAAACATTTGCCCCACTAGGATCCGAACCCAAGACCTCTCAGTAGGAGACACCTTGAACCCCTGGGTGCATAGCACTCGCGCTATGTTGGTCGTCAAATAATTTTCAATAGTGTGTTTGCAGTTTAAAATTTATTTCTTGAATTGTACCTAATTATGCCTTTATTTATTAAATACCAACAGACTTGAACTGTATCGTCGTGAAAGATGTGCTCAGTGACAATGCTGAAGCTGCAGTCAGACAGTGTCTGAGACAGTTGCATCTACTGAAAAACGTCTGGATTGGTGTCTTTCCTATCAACGTCTTTACAAGGTAAAATTATAATTCATACACAAATTACAATAATGACGTGAAGATGGCTATGTACTCATAAGTTTTAAAGCTTTAATGATGAAAACACCAAAAAAATTTTCAGGTTGATGGCAACACTTGTGAATATGTTTGTAGATGAGTTGATTCACAGAGTTTGCACAGTTGAGGATATCTCTATGGAAATGGCTACCCAGCTCACGGATATGTACACTCTGGTTGTACAAAAAGCACCCCTTTTGTTCCAGGTAAAAAACGAGTTTTTATAAACTTAAGTAGTCTTTAATTGCTATGCTTCCAGCAATAGATAAGATAGCTCATTACTTTGGAAATTTAATGCTTGGCACAGTAATAATAATAATAATAAATAAATATTTCCAACACTCACACCAATTAGTCTAGCCCCAAAGTAAGCACTGTAAAGCTTGTGTTATGGGATGCTAGGGTAACGGATAGAATACATATATAAGTATATTTATATAGAAATACATATTAAACATCCATGACGGAGTACAAATGCTCGTATTCACCACACAAACATCTGCCCCCACCGGGATTCGAACCCGGGACCTCTCGAGTCGGCGACACCATGAAACCCGGCGTACAAACCACTCGGCCACGGAGGTCGTCAACAGTGATATGTTATCTTACCTATTATTATAGCAAAGAAAGTGATAGCATCAACACAAAAAAAATGATGTCTGTGGGTGCAGCTGTACTACAGTTTCTATAAAATACTCACAACACTAAGGATTGAGGAGCCGTAGGTGGATATCCCGTTCGACCTGCGATCGTTGAAGTAACTTCCGCAACGGTCGGTCATTGGATGGATGACCAAAAACTTCTTATCTCGAGCTTGTCCGTGCTTCGGAAGGCTTAAGCTATTGGTTCCGACTGCATCTGTAATCGTTAGCACTCATCAACCCCCATTCCATCTATAAGGAAGGGTTGCGCCTCAGCAGTGGGGATATTAATAGACTGGTGGCATCACCACTGTTGATGATGATGACACACATCACAATAAAAATAAACTCAGTACTTTCGGAACATAAAGAACTCTTATTTATTTATTTTACAGAATCATTCGGATGTGGAGCTGTATGTGAAATCATGGGTAAAGCTTCAAGAGTTGATCTTCGTCCTGGGAGGGTCTTTGAAAGATATTGAGAACCACTGGAGTGACGGCACCGGTCCTCTCGCCATACACTTCAATATAGAAGAGCTAAGGAGTCTCATCAAAGCATTATTTCAAAATACTCAGTTCCGCGCTAATTTATTAGCTAAAATAAAGTAACAATATACCTATTAAATAATTGTCACAGTCACTATTATAATTATTCATGTCCGGTGTTATTGGAGTTTTATTTTATTATGTAAAAAATAACTTTATGATGCATGAAAGACATTACACCAATTCGGAGACTAGAAGCAGTATTTACACTGAAATACTGGCTGGAAGACGGTGTCGGGACGGGAAGGAAACCCGAATACGTCTAAATGAACGGAGTCGAGTACACATCCGACTCCGTTCACCCGAATTCTATTTAGCACTCGTATTCGGGTTTATTATAAAAAGATTCTCAGTGATTGATCTAGTCTTGAGCATAGTTAGAAAGGGATGTCGCTATATATAGCACATTGCGACATCCCAAAGAGTAAAGTAAGTATCGACATCCATTTATAACTGTACTTACTCAAGTAAAGATTATCACTTAGTTGTCATTCTGTAATACGGACCAAAGTGTAATTGCGGCATAAAGGAATGCCAGCTTAACATCAGTAAGCAGTCACCATAGCCATACTTGATTTATACCACCGCGGAATGGCCACAGCCACAAAAAAAAAATTGTTCAAGATCAAATAACAAATGCCATGGCAACACTTCATTAGTAAAACTATAAAAACATATTTTTCTCAAAAAATACGGATTTGTTGGAAATAAATGTAATACTAGGCTATATGGGCATTGTTTCCTTTGCCTTCCTTAAAAAGAGAACGTTAAAAAAAGTGAATTGTCATAACAAATAAAACGTCTAAAAATAACCTCAATAAAACTTAAATTTTGTAAAATTTGTTGGTTTATGTATGATTTATCTGTGTTTTTATGATGAATGTACTAAAAAAGATATTAGTACATCGTAAATATCCTGGGTTAATAGTCCGTCATGGTTACGCAACCACAAAAAAGAAAATACCCGATGGTTCAGAAGAGAATTTACCCAGTAAGATATTTAGTTTAATATGTGGCTTCAATTTATTAAACACTTACTTTCATTATTGTCATCTAATTGTTTAGTATTTCAGTATCCCTTGAGCAAATCCTCCGATAGACGAGTTTATGTTTGGGGCTTTGCTGAAACTGGTGCACTAGGAATACATTTACCCAGAGGCAAACGAGCCAAGAAAGGCTATAAGAATAATTTTACACTTGCATGGCATCCCATGAGATCTACTTTTGGAGAGCGATTTGATGTAAGTTAAAAGTTTCTTACATTTATACTTTTGATTAATGAATCTTCATTATTGAAAATTCATGTAATTTATATAAACAAAATAAATATTAATAACAAATGCAATTATTGCTCTGTCTTACATACTGAGATAACTCGCACAACTTTCTATAGAGGAAATGTTTAGTTTGTGTAGCTTGTCAGTTGCTTACTTTACAGGTTACTGATATAGCTTGTGGCTATGGTTTCACAGTGGCATCAATTAAAACTAATGAGCACCACAAGGTATTTGGCACAGGCATCAATACAGACTCACAGATTGGATATCATGCACCACGGATTGGCCACCCTCTAGAACTTCTTTTGAGCCCTGCTCCTATGTACATACCTTATAAATCTTTGGAGAGTAAAGTAAGAATGACTCAATTCCCTATTCAAAACAAAATGAAACATTAAATATTGTTTTTTTTTCATTATTAGAGTGACAAAATCAAATGCTGCTTTGTCATCAATCACTTAGTATCAAGTTCTCTTTTTCAATCCTTTATTTAAGGAATTTTACAATTGTGTTTAATCTTTCGAATTCTGATTTCATAATTATTTTGTATTGATTTGAATATTATTAAATTTTAGATAATAGGTGTTTCAGCAGGAAGAGCACATACAGCTATATTAACAGATAATGAGGGTGTGTATACATTAGGTAATAATGCTTATGGGCAATGTGGCCGGAAAATTAACAAGAATGAAGAGTATAAAGGCAGTATGGTGACCCATAATATTAGTAGATTAGGTAAAGAAGTCATAACTAATGTTTGTTGTGGACAGGATCATACGTAAGTATTAATGGTGAAAAAACTGTTTTGATACAAAATTTACTTACTAAAGGACTCTCTTGGAGGAACTTGAATCTCGTTATAAATTGATTTTTAATGCTGTATTTTCAATAAAAAGGAGTGCCAACATTGTTTACCAAATAGGACCAGTTAGGATGAATGTCAATGCAGTGTTTTATTATTATTTTTGTTTTAATCGGCTTTTATTTGTATTAATTACAACTTGTTAAAGCATTTATATTTAATTAATAACATTATAAAAATGTCTATACTAGATGTTCAACTTTGATCCAAATATGATTTGGCCGATGTCCCTTATATCCTATAACTTTGTGTAATATAAATTAATTTTGATTCCAATAATTTTAGGTTGTTTATAACAGAATCAGGTAGAGTTTATGCAAGTGGTTGGGGAGCTGATGGACAAACAGGTCTTGGAAATTATGAGAATCAAGGAGTTCCAGCACCTGTAAAGGGTGATATTACTAGTGAGAAAATTGTAAAGGTTGCCTCCACAGTTGATTGTGTACTGGCCTTAAATGGTAATTCAGTATTTTAACTAAATTATTGATAAACAGATTTTCACCATAATCCAAACATTTTATCCTGAATAATTTTTACTATTTTAGATAAAGGTGAACTTTTTGGTTGGGGGAATTCAGAATATGGTCAAGTACCAATGAGTGTTAAGCAGCAACAGGTTAACATGTCCTATGCTCTTGTGAATTTTACAAAAGGTATTGGAAAAATAAAAGATATTGCTGCCGGCGGTTCTTTCTGTTTGATAGTCAATGGTTAGTTTAACTTAAGTTTTTATAAAATACTAGCTGACCCAGCGAACTTCGTACCGCCCTAAAAAAATAGGGGTTGTCCAGCGGACAAAATTGTGAATCTAAACCATTCTCAGATCCCCTTGAACACACACAAAAAATTTCATCAAAATCGGTCCAGTCGTTTAAGAGAAGTTCAGTGACATACACACTCACAGAAGAATTATATATATAAAGATGTTAATTATTTTGTGTTTGCTTTTTCATTTATTTCCAATGTTTTACAGAACAAGGTGATGTATTTGTATGGGGTTATGGTTTACTTGGCCTTGGTCCTAACGTGCAGCATTCAACTAAACCAAAAGTGATACCTGCACCTCTTTTTGGCCGCAATGAATTTAACCCAGAGAGTGCAGTGGAGAAAGTGGCATGTGGAATTGGTCACCTAGCTGCCATTACAAATAATGGAGATCTTTACATGTGGGGCCGAAACCGATATGGCTGCCTTGGTTTGGGTCACAGTAAAGATCAATATTTTCCTTTGAGAGTCTCTGTAGGTGCTCTTGTTTTAAAAGTTGTATGCGGTGTAGATCATACAATTGTTTTGAGTAAACCATATTTATAAGTAGCTACTGAAATATTTCATTGTATCTGTGATTTATTAAAATAAGTTTTCATTTAAAGGTTATTTAATACAATTTATTACTTTAGTAACTAAATACCTTCTCATACTGACTATATTACAAAATATTATAGTAAGAGTTTTAATGCACAATAAATCATTCTAGTATCGTCACTTGGTTTGATTTGAACATTGTTCCTCACACATTTTCTATTGAAGGAGAAAGCTACCAACCTCTGAATGTATTAGTATGCTCTCTCTTTCAATACCACATTAACTATTGCTTGCATTCATCATGAAATGGCTCCAATGTGCGGAAGTCCCTCCAGGCAGGTGGTAAGAGGGAGACATGATGAAGGTGGCATCCACATCGTTTGCATGGCTCGCTAAACAAGTTTACATAGCTGTGCAACCAGGTCATGAATGATCGCACTGCTAATTCTGGTAATGTAGGTGAATAAAAATGTAACATTGCTGCATGGGCATTCTCAGTAACTTTTCTGAATACATGGTGACGAGATTCAGTCCATAAATCTAAAGTTTCACCATATCCTTTCACCATCACCCACTCCATAAGAAGACCTTTGAAAGCAACAACAGCTTTAAGGACATGGCTCAAATTTATTTGAACTACTGCATTACTTGCGAATGGTCGTGATATCGTTATCTTCATATCATTGTAGGATCTATCTATATTGTTTATGACATTGTCGACTTGTAAAGGCGCGACGTTGTGGTTACTCTGTAATTTTCCTCTGCGTTTTGTGCTGCCAGAGTTTATGTATGACCGTTTCAATGAGTTTTGACTCAGTAAAGTATGCGCGAAGGAACTGTATTCGTGTATTTTATCTGTCCATTTGTAACTATTCACTAATTGTGTATACAACGCTTGTCGGTCTTGAGTAGTTTCTTGACTTAAGAAAGTTGTGTTACCGAGATTAAATGGTGCTGTTGGTATTGGTAATCCGCTAACGGTTTGTTCTAGATCTCGGAGGTTGGTATTCACATTGTTAAGCAGCTCTTGGAGTTCGAGAAGAAACTTATCTTTGCCTTCTTCGCCGTGGTCAGCCCGTAAACCGTTTGAAAGCGTATCAAAGACATGGCTCACGCTTAGACGCAACGTTCTCAATGATGTTAGAGCAGAATTTAACTGTTCAACATTTATTGTTTGATTCATGTTCAAAATGTATTCATTGAAATTTAATCTAAAAATAACACTGTTTCGTCCGATGCTTGCAAAACAAATTGATAATGGCAAGGCAAGCAAGCAAAATCAAGAATGTCAATGTCAAACTTATTGTTTTTTAGTAATGTCTTTATGGCAAGACAAAGCATATTAAATCCATACAGTTTTAAGTATTTTTCATTTTATCCTTTTTTTTTCACCAATTAAACACACGAACTAACCTGAAATATGCCCTCCGGATGTGCCTAAAACGTAGTCTTATTCACGTTATGACAAAACTTTATTTGAAATTCGCTATTCGTCTATGTCACTATTGACTTAGCGTCCGCTCACGTTCACACCAAAACGCAATGCGACGCTGCGCACACCTTTTATTAGCTCGACTCAAAATAAAACTTTATTTACTACATGAAAAGTCCACATTTCTGTATATATTTTCAAAGTAATGGACCAAAGTTTTATAGAGGACAGCAATATCTACAAAAAAGTCCACGATACCATATGTCTAACTACACTTGAGAGCAATGAATCCAGGTCACTTAAAGAATCCTAAAAATCTTGCAAACTAAGAATGCTAGCTTAATAAAATAAATTGTGTTTAATAGACAATTAAAAACTCTTTAAATGAAAGTAATAAAATTTACAAGTCACCACATTTTTTTTACAAGAAAATACATAAATATAAAAACTGGCTGATCTCGCCTTAAAACAAACAGTTATGTCAAAACTAGAGGTTCCTTGCGGTTTCACCCGCGTTAATTTGAGGAAAAAGTTAAAGTGAGTCAAACTTAAAGGATGAACATAATATGCTGAGCAGACGTCCTTTGCGGAGATTATCAACTAAATAATCCATTATTGAATGTTCACCCACGCGGCGCTGTGAGAGGCATCGGCCTTCCGTGTCTCGTGACGAGTTGAACGGGTCCCGTGACGGAGCACCGAGCTGCTCTCCTCGACGGACGCCCGCTCCGTGCCCCGCTTACCGGTGCGCAGACCCTTTTGTCATTTCATAAAGACCCACTGCGCGGCGCGGGAGACCCGCCTCACGTAGCCTTACTGTATGAAATAACACGAAACAAACACACCGAGAGGACGCCCACTCCGTGCCCCGCTTAAAGGTGCTGTCCGACGATCTGTGTTGTCGCGGGCGAGGCCGCGCCGCGCAGGGTTTCCAAACGTATGAAAAGTCTAGCGTTCGAGTTTAAGCAGTATCTTTGTAGGATACGAGGTTAATAGAAATCTCATAAACTTTGATATGAGATTTTAACAATGTTGACTGTTTGTGTCATGTACAAAAACCAAAAATATTATCACAAAGTAAAAAAATGTCCAGTCAACAAAGGATCGTCTCAGTAAATACAGATTTATTATGCCATCACTAAATGCATCCTTATTTATATCATCGTATCATCACCTCGTATCATGTATAGATACTGCTAAATCTCGAACGTTCTTATACATTTGGAAACCCCGCGCGGCGCGGCCTAGCCCGCGACAACACAGATCGTCGGAAAGCACCTTAACACAGCGCATGCGCTTAGGACAACAATTCCGTCTTACACGATTTTTGTGTAACTTTTACCGTTTATGCAGCGCACGCAACGGCAGATCATAAATGAAATATCTACCCGTTTTTGCAACATTTTTCATCAATGCTACGCTCCTACGGGTCTTTCACAGTAAAGGCACTATCCAGCACAAAAATTCTATTTCAAATCGAACTAGTAGTTCCCAAAATTTAACGTTTAACCAAAAATAAAACAAACAAACTCCTACCTATATATAATAACTACTTGATACGTTCGTGTTATAAGTAGTAATAACGCCTGTACACACTAGGCCACATCATTCGTGTCCGGGTATTAATTCTTATTCAAGTCTATAGCAGACAGGTACCTGATAGAGGGATAAATTAAAATTTTGAAATTACTTTTTGGATTAGAACATTCCCAAGTTTCATACAGTCATCATTAGTGCAATACCAGCAGAGCAATGGTGCATTGGATACGACGGGTCTAACGCACTACGCAACAAAATTTAATAGCAATTATAGGTAATATTTTAATTTTTTAAGCATTAAACTGCAAGATATTTAAATCTAAAGAAAATTTATGAACTTGTGGGTTACCCACAATGCGAAGGCGCTGCCTTGAAGTCTGAAATACTAGAGAAAATTCGACACGGCCATCAAGGCCGCAGTAGCATAATGGTCAGTGCGTCCACCCGGATAGCGGAAGGTGCGAGTTTGAGTCCCGTCTGCTGCCTGGTCCGCGTGGATCTTTTTCCAGTAATATTTTCTTTAGATTTAAACATCTAGCAGTTAACTGCTTAAAAAAATAAAAATATGTCTTTAATTGCTCTTTCTTCTTTCAAATGTTTAATACTTGTAAAGGTATTTATTTGACATTGTGTGTTACCTACAATGCGCAGAGGTGACACTACCTTGCAGCCTAAGAAATACTAGAGAAAATTCGACACGGCCATCAGGGCTGCGGTAGCATTATGCTCAAAGTATTCGCCCGGATAGCAGCGGGTGCGGGTTGCAGTCCCGTGTGCATCCTTGTCCGCGTGGAATATTTTCTATTAAAATTTTCGTTAGATTTAAATAAGTACCTATTTATCGCTTATTTTCTTGTTTAGCCATAGCTGTTATGTATGGTGGAAAATTAAACGCTTAACCCTTGACCACACAAACCGACAATTTATTTATTTCTATATTTATAAAAAAATAATAAAAGAACATATTTTTTTCATTTTCAATACCGGAACCTCTTAGTCATGTATTGTGTCCTGGTACTTTTTTCAAGATTAGAAAGACAAATACAAGCTTCATTTTTAAATATATTTTAATTACTTCAGATCCTGATATGACATACATAAAAATAGATTATATTTACTTTTATTATATAAATTAAAATCATTCATCCAATCATACCCCCCCCCCCCCCCCCCTCCCAATAACTGGTCTTCAATAGTAGGTTTTGTATCGTAAATTAACTTTTTAATCGTTATTAGTTTTGTTAAATACTTCTTCTTTATCTTGCGACTTTGTTTAATTTTTAAACAGAATCATGTTTTCATTACCCTTCTTAAACGACAGTCGCATATATACGTTATATATTTTATACATAGAATTTTCTCTCTTTTCTGAAAAAAGTTATAGTAGAATGATACCCAGTGGAAAAGGTAGAGAATATAACAAAAATGAAAGGAAAAATAAATTACGGGCGATCTGAGGGCGGGAAGGTGGAGGGGGTGAGTTTTTAAGGGTAAAAAACGCTTAATCTCGATTTCCGGTAAAACTGCAAGTCCTATGAAAAAAAGTTAAATGGCAAAGTTGTAGGTAATAAAAAGATCTTCAACTTTTGTTTCGATACTTTTTTCACATAACCTCAAAATTTATGTGAAAAATTCAAATAACTGAGTTTTTGGTTTTTTGTTTTTATTTTTTGCAATAAAAAGTATTTTTTCACGAAATTTAGTGAAAACTTACCTTTGTATATCCCAAACATACAGTAATTTTTTTGATTTAAAATATTTATTTTTTCGCCTTTTTTGACTTAATATCGAAAAAGCACCCTAATTTTCAATCGAAAATTCTCACGTCAAAATATCTACTTTTTAAAAAAATTGGTGTGTATTTTGTTTGTTGAAATCTCTACTTTCTGATGGTATAAAAATATACGTACCGCCCAAAGGTAATAATTAGCAATAAAATAATATTACGACTATAAATTGAGATGTAAGCTATCCTATCTTTCAAGTTGAATCAAGCTGCACACGGTGTGCAAACGGCATGGCTAAGAAACTGCCCTTAACGTGTATAAATATTTAGCACGAGCCCGTAACTTTACAATATTTTTTATTAATTACTTCGTGTTTATTATTCAAATAGAACTTTCGTGAAATAATCAAATATTAAAAAGTATAAAAATTGACTTCATGTCTGTTTCAAAAGCAAAATGTTCCGTTTTAGGAAATAAATGAACATTAAATGTACACAAAAATATTTGTGTAAGTATATCGAAATAAACAATATTATTTCTAAACTCCTTTAAACAGTTGGCCCTAATTTTTTTTATAACAAGTCACTGAAGTGCTTAAATAATAGCATTTATTATTCTGATCAGGCTTGAGATAAGGCTGTATGATAATTAAACCTTTAATTTTTTAAAATGGACAAAATAAAACTTCACAGTTTTCCTGTCGAGCCGACGATAACAAATTATTTGTGTTTATTTTTGCTTTAAAAAACTTTTTGTGAAGAGTTAATCAGAGAAATGGGAAGAAAGATTCTAAGAAAATCGAAATTGATGATTCTGTAAATAATTGGCAACATATTTTATCAACTGTAGTAAGGTAATGATATAATAGGAGTTCTTATAATTTTCAAGATTGTGACTTTATCAAAAGTTCCTGAGCCTTTTTTTATAGAAATTATAAATATTCAGCCATTTACCATTAAATATTACTAAGTACAGTATTTATACATTGCCAGGGCAGTCGCTCACACAAAACTTTACCATGTTCTTTTTGATTAAAATCGGTTAAGTAATTTAGGAGTCCATCCAGGACAAACAATGTGACGCGTAATATATATATATATATATATATTCATGAGTGTTACCCTTGTGACGAATTTCCGTTTCAACTTTTCCATAGGACTTTTCCATTTACACCCCGTCCGGAAAGAAGTTTCACTTCAAAAACTATTCTATATTCTCTCCCGGGACTCAAACTAAGTCTATACAAAGTATAAATTATGATTTAGCTAAAGATAGACTCCGTGCTCGCTCGTAGCACTATCCGTAGTAAAATTCGTAGCAACTCGTCGTAGCTACGGCCACAGGACCGTAGTATGACTAGCTACGGAACAAGTGGCGACTGTTGTAAATTATTTTGTATTGTAGCGCTTACATTATTTTAGTTTTAAACTAAGACGTGTTAAGACGTGTTTAATATATATATGGAATTATATTAAATGCCTTATTAAATTGCCTATTAAATTAAATTCAAAAAAACTGTCAAAAGCCTGAGCTGGGCTTTGTTTATAAATTTGATTTATTTAAATGTGAAACAACTTTCCCAGTAA